GGCTTCAGCAGCGTCGAACACTGGTCACGAACCTTTCCCTGGGCACCTGGGCAGGGCAGATGCAGAAGGGGCTCTCAGAGCTACATGAGTTCATGTCCTCCCAGCCCCAGCCTCAGCCCTCCTGGCTGCTGGGTCTGCTCACCTGTGCTCACTGTCTACCCTCCCACTCTTCCTTCCCAACAAGAACAGATGGGGTCCTCTGCCCTCCATCCCGCCCTCCTTCCTGTGGCCTTGGGGCACGTGAACCTGCACAGACTGCTCCCTCAGCTCCCTGAGCCGGCCCCAGGCCCAGCTCCCTCCAGCCAGCCGGTCACCAGGGTTTGTCTGCTGGCAGTGACCAGGGATGCAAAAGAAGATGGGTCCTGCCTCTCCCAGGGGAGGCCACATTAATACAAGGGACATCATCCTAGCACAGCCCAAAGGCGTGTCATTGCGTGTGGCCCCGTGGCACTAACTTTCTGAAGCTCCAAGGGGGACATGGTGGAGGGTGGGGAGCCCACACCCCCAGATGAGGTCCCGGTCCTGCCACCAGCAGACTTGATCCCTCCCAGCCCCTGAGCTCAGCGAAGATTCCAAAGCCCAAGATTCTCCGAAATGAAAGTGGCTTCAGAACTGCCCACAGCCCACCCTCTTGTCCCGAAATGACCAGCTCTGAGTTCCCAGCACAATTCGGAGCCGTGTAAGCAGCACGCAGAGGTGGCAGCAGAGCAGTGGGTGCGTACACACGAGTCACCAACCGGCCCTGCGGGGTGCACCCCACGCCTCTCCAGGCCCGGCGACCCCCTCAGCCCTGACCTCTTCCGTACCTCCCCTCATTTCTCCAACCGCTCTGCAGTGTTCGTGACCAGAAAACCAACTGGGAGCCGCAGAGCAGAAAGCAAAGCCACAGCCTCCCCGCACCCGAGAAGCTGCTGTCACTGTCTGGGACGCCTCCTGTCTTTCCCCGATGTGCACAGGGCCACGTCACTGTGACCACAGCATACCCAGAACCTCGCTATGCCACCTCAGCAGCCCACATCCTGCCCGCAGCGCCCTGCGGTGCTGCGGTCACCCTCCTGTTTACCTACCATTTGTAGGCACCGGGGGCAGGTCCACGGTACAGGTGCCTCATAATCTGTCTTAGCCCTTACCCTTTGGCTTGACATTAAGGCTATTTCTGGCTCCAACTCCCAAGTGGAGATGGACGGCTGAGTCCCCTGGTAAAGCTTCCCAAGCAAGTGGGATGGTTCAGCCACTCAACATGTGTTCACAGAGAACCTTCCACCTGCAGAGACACAGAAGGGACAAGTCACCCCAAGCCCCAACCGCTCCCCCTGTGGGCAGCCAGTCACCACCCTCACCACCCTCCCCCTCCCCCTCAGGCTCTCTTAAAGAAGTAAAATCTTTCTTAAAAAGGGGGGTGGGGAGAATATTGTAGCTCCAGGCAAAAATACAGTGCCTGTTGCAATAATTCAACTCTGCCTTGTAGCACCAAAGTAGCCTCAACGGCACGTAAACGAGAGACGTGGCCATGTGCCAATGGAATGATTTTACGGGCTTATGGGTGCCTTGGGAAAGCAGCCCAAGAGGCTGCAAAGTGGAGTCCCTGGTGCTAAACCCCTAGGACCTCCTGATCCAGGGTGGCCGGCAGCCTGCCTGATAAGAGCCAGCTAAGACCCACGTGTTCCCCTCAGGGAAGATGTCCCTCCCTGACATAATCCACTCCCAACTTCCTCGTCCCACCCTTCCTGCCTAGAAAAACCTTCCATTTTTTTGGAAGCTCCTGGAGCTCCTTTCTGCCTGCTGCCCTACTCCTGAATCATCTAATAAGCCCAATTAGATCTGCAAATCGACTCGGTTGAATGTTTTAACCACTGAAACACAGATTTTCATGTCATTTCCACGTGTCACTAAATATTCTGCTAGATTTTAAAACATTCGTAGCTTGGAGTCTGCACAGAAACAGGCTATGGACTGGATCCCACCCCAGGACCAGCTTCCTCACCCTTGGCCAGCTTTCTGCCTTGCCCGCAGCCATAAAGGAGGGCTGGGCTAATGCTTGATAACAAAGATCATCCATTTCCCGGGCCAGCAGTGGGCAAAGTTCCCTCCCAGGCACTGTGTCACCTCTTTCCAGGCATTTGTCTAATACGCCAAGAAAAGAGAGCTTTCGGCAACGTAAACCCAATCTTTGAGGCGGACCCATCCCCTCGCTGTCTCTAGCATCCTAAGGATCTTTCAGAGACAAAGTCCAGTGTGGCTTCCATGAATAACTTCTACTGAGTGGGTGACCGGGAAGTGTGCCAGACTGAACCTACGGAGAAAGCCACTAATTGGGGCTGCTGGGGGTGAAGGCTGGCCAGGGAGGGAGGCCAGTGGGTGCGGGGTCCCTCTGGGGAGTGAGAATGTTCTATAACTCTGGAACCTGCTAAAAAACCATTGAATCGTGCATCTTTAGTGGATACATTGAATGGTATGTGAATTATGTCTCCATGAAGCTGCTTTTAAAAAAATGCTCCAGGCACTGGTCCCCTAATTCCTGCCGTGGAACCACTGCTCCGCAGCTGGGAGTCGGGTTGGCCCAAGGGAGGCTGGCCCAGCCCTGGGTGCCTATTCACTGGCTTCCGGGGCACGTCCCTTTTCAGCTTGGTCCTGGGGCCCCTGCTATGGAGGGTCAGAGAGGCAGCTATTATGGCTCTGGGTGCTTTTCAGGAAACAGCTGTAACTCTTATTGCTCCCCACCCCCATTACTAAGCCTGGGGTTCCAAGCAGTGATTTAGGGGCCCAGCTCCCTCCCCAGCCTTCCCAGGGAGTGTGTGTGATACATCACGGGAACCAACTGGAGGCACGGACCAGCACACTGAAGGCCCAGTGCCTGTCCCCTCATAAAGGGGGTCATCTGGTAAAGGGACAGGACTGTGGCCATGGGGCCAGCACCCCAGTGTTCTAGTCCCGGTGGCCCATTATCGACATGAGTGAGGAGGTGCTCAGCAAGGCATGTGCCCTCCCAGAACCTGTTAGCTGCACCTGCACAGCTCAGGGCTGTGGATTCTGTCCAGATTTAGCTCTGTTGCAAGTGGCAGAAACATCAACCTGATTCTGGTGGGAATGTATTAGTTTATAGAAGTGAGAAGTCTGGGGTGTGGGATTCAGGCACAGTTGGATCCAGAGCACAAACTCAGAAGGGCCCCATTTCCTTTCAGGTCAGCTTTCTCCCTGTGTGGACCCTACTCCCAAGAAAGGCCTGCCTTCGTGGCTGCTGCAGCCCCACGGCTCCCTGAAGTCCAAGGCCAGGGAAAACAAGCTTCCCCCAGCCTCAAACCCAAAACAAGTCCAAAGCCTGGCTCCGGTGTGCAGGATGTGGGTCCTGGGTGCAGGGAGTCTGGGGTCTGCATTAGTTTTCACCCTACTAGCCTTAAGTTTGGGGATCCTGGGGCCCCTTGCTCCCCATAACCATGTTCTATAATTTGAGACTGAGCTCCGCCTATGGAAATTCCATGTGGCCAGGCTGGGGTTATCTCCCAGGGGTTCCTAGATCACAAATCTGGGGTCCAGAGAGATGGATGCCCTCATCCTCTTGCTCAGGTGGGCGGGATTATTTCCTAGCCCCCGTTTCCCTGGGGAGAGGTGAGCAGGTGGTAACCAGCTTTATACAGAGGTTTGGGTTCCGACCCCTGCCCTCTTGCAGGCCTTCCCCGCCTCCCTCCAGATCCAAGGGGATGTTGGGGGTTTTCCTCCCCAGGGACTGACTGCCCAGGACTCCAAGCTCAGGCTTCCCCGTCTCTGCATCGGGATTCCCCTTTCCTGGGGACTCACTGCCCGGTTTACTGATTTATCACTGGTAGGTGTTTGGAACAAGAAGGCTCTATGGGGCGTCTTACAGGAGCTGTTCAGGTCTTTGTGGCCACACCAAGGTGGCTGTGGTTACTCAATCTATATACACAAGAGGCTCAGCCATTCTCATCATAAAACCCCTGACACAAAGAACCTGGCCCCAGGAGTGACAGGAGCCACCACGGATCACATTTCCTCTAAAGCCCGAGGCACACCCAGAGGGCGGCCCTGCTACGGAGGCTGGGGCAGGGCCCTACCCAAGCCAGGCAGTCTGGTCACCTCAGCCACACAGCTCCTCAGGCCAGGACTGTCCTACCACAGGGCAAAGCCACCAGTGGGATCTCAGACACAGGCAGGCCTTTGGATCCTCAGTGACACACTGACACAGCCCCCAACTGGCCGGGGCTAACAAACCCCGAGTCCCAGCCGCAGAGCCAGTCCTCAGGGTGGCTGCCAGACCAGGCAGTGTTTGGCAGGTGGGGAAGGCCCTCAGGGCCGGCTACCAGTCACCGGCATGGCACACGACTGAGCAGACACCGTGTTCCCATGCAGGAAAATGCACCTCTAAGTGGTGGGGGCTCATGGCATCATGAACATGGATCAGGTGCAACAGGAGCATCTTGTTAAAACCCTGCACAGGGCTGTCTATGCAGAGCGGTCCAAACACTGGTCACTTATAGAAAGTTGGGGGGTGTCATGATGCATCTCGAGCTGAAAACCACTGGCCGGAACCATATGAGTCCATCCTGCCTAGATGCCGAATGTCTGACATGAACCGAGGGGAACTCAAGACTGCCAGCTCCCGGGTTTCACCCCAAATGGACTCAGTAGGCCTGGGAGGCCTCTATCGAGTGCCCGAGACACTTCCCACACGGTCTGAAGCCCTGGATCTGAGGCAGGTCCTCTGAGAGCATTGGAGGTGTGTTCTGGAAAGAGTGCAGGCAGCTGCACAGGCAGGAGGGGGCATGATGGGCACCCCCACAGGGAGGCTGTTCTAATATTCCGTGGTCCTTGGAGCCTGGCTGCCCTGAAGAACATCCCCAGTGGTGTCACCAGCCCAGTATTAGACGCACCAAATGACATTCCCTGAGTGCAAGGCACTCAGCCTTGGGCTGAAGCTGATTGGAGACGGAATCCTAGCTGAAGTACATAGCACGGCTAGAGCGAGGCACAGTCCTAACACCTGCTTCCGACCCCACCTGCACCAACACGCACGGCAGCCTTTATTTTTGTATCACACAGTGTGAGGGCCACATAACCTGGGTCAGCGTCAGTTAACAATAACTTAAAAGGTAGAAATGGGTCGCATGTTACAGGAACCTTTAAATGGACAATTTGACCATTTGTACAATAGGTGACAGAAATCTGACAGCTGCAGAGGCCGGGGGTCAGCCAGTGCACCTGTTAACAAGTGGGGCCGAAGGACCGATCTGTGTCTTAGTTTACACTGGCTTCTGAAACTGGTACTTGAATGGAATGTGCGTAACAGCACACAGAACACTACTTCCCGAAGAAACTGCACCAAAGACTATAGACCAGTTATGAACTGCAAGCTAAGGCTGGCTGATTATTTCAAAGGATAAACCAGCGTAAAAAGGATGGAGTGTTAAAAACACTTTCGAATGTACGAGGTATGTAGTAGATAGAAATGGAGGTTACCTATTTACACACAAGTTATACAAAATCAGAAAAAACGCAATTCCAGCAAAGCCAATCTAAACCCTGGTTTCACCGCTAAATGGGAGCAAGACCTTAGCTGGGTCATTTTGTTCAAGGATAATTTGAAAATCAGTTTACCGTCCTAGCCTAGATCCCAGCTCCTAAGAACCTTCAAAGATCTTTCACACTAACTGAAGTTGGGAAAATGCAGCCTGAAATATAAAAAGGCCCCCACCCAGGTTACGGGCAGTCTGCACAGACCAGACTCCGTGCTTAAAGATTTCAGCCAGAAGTGCCTCCATTTCTCATCCTGTGACACTGGACTTGTGCTCCTGGATTCGAGACCTCACCTGCCTGTGGGGCAGCCCTGGCTAACACGTAGGTGTGCACAGGACTGAACTGAAAGGTGATGAAGAGGCACTTCGGCTCATGAAAGAAAATGAAGGGAAATAACATGCTTACATTACACAATTTAACTTATCTTGCTCACCTGGTAAATTCTGAGGTGGCTCATGTTAGTGGTTAACTGAACACTTTGCATTTTGGTGTGCAAACTACCCAAGTTAGGCTAAACAGGGTCCTCGTGTTAGCACCACAGACTATGAAGTGCCAGTTTTACACACAAGTAAACTGTCAAGTGCGCTCTGAAGCAGGGAGGCCGGTGTCTTCTGACAGCCTTGTGGGAGCCAAACTGGGACAAGAACTTTCATAAGAAGCTTTTGAGGACACTTTGTCCCAGGTGACAGCCCTAGCACCATAAACATAAGGATTAACAGTGTGGTAAAGGTCATTAACAACATTATGGGTAACTTGCAATATAGCTGGTCGAGACACCAAGCAGCCAACTTTGCTTTTGCAAAGGAAAAAAGCCATCAGCAAGTAAGAGCAGACCTTCGGTTCATTCAGAAGTCAGCATCCAGGGTGAACGAGTTCTCTGTGGGGCTGGACATCACTCCCATCCTCTGATATTCGCCTACTCTCTTCTCAAAGAAGTTGGTCTTCCCTTCCAGTGAAATGTTCTCCATGAAGTCAAATGGGTTTTCTGCTCGGAAAGCCTGGAAGGTGCACAGCAGAACGTGAATACAGAACACCAGCTTCCAAAGAACCCGCAGGGCCCCGACCTCTCTTTTGTTTACCTTGCTGAAACCCAGCTCCAGCAGGAGTCTGTCGGCCACAAATTCGATGTACTGCTTCATCAAAGTACAATTCATCCCAATGAGCTTCACTGGCAAGGCCTCGGTGAGGAACTCCTAGGAACCGAAACACAGTCTCAGTACACACTAGGCATGAGCGTGGCTTCGTCGGGCGAGCATGGGTCTCGCGAGTCACCCACCTGTTCTATCCTGACGGCGTTGATGATGATCTCCTTCACTCGCTGCTCCGAAGGTTTGTGTACCAGGTGTTTGAACATCAGGCAGGCAAAGTCACAGTGCAGACCCTAGAAGAAAAGGTTGAAGGTCACTATAAAACCAGAAGGCACCCACCATTAATGTGCAGTTGGAAATGCCTGTATCTTTTTCTGCATTCTCTTTATATATCCCGCTTGGCCATACAAAAAGCATTAACACTCTCAAAAAGGAAGACAAGTTTCACTGCTGTCTACTCTGCATGTGCCACCGACACATGCTCAGCCCCAACCAAGGCTCAGTGCTGCCACCTAGACAGGCCAAGTGTGGTCCTCAGCGCTCTGTGATGTGGCAATAGATGGTACAGTACTTCCGCTCCAGCATCCTTCCGCTCCAGCATCCTCCCGCTCAGAGCATCCTTTCTGTTCCCCAGCCACACGCCCTCATTTTGCCCATAGTCCCAGCAAGGGGCAAAACTCTGATCAGGTTACGTTTAGATTTACACTCGAGTGGGCAGAAACTTGGTAATGCAATCTCAAGTGAATCAAGTCAGTGCATGACGCCCCGAGTAATGCTGATACAGCCTAAACCAGAATACCTGCACCACCCCTGCCTCTCCACAGCTTAGTCCAAGCATCCAAAGACACCTGCTGGACCAGAATCCCTATAAAAATCCCATCACCCACAGAGAAACACCTGTGTGTAAATGTACTGTGGTATACTGAGAATACAAGTATTTAAAGTATTTCATTCCCTGCCCAAAATATGTAGTTGAATTTCACATGTGAAATGTGGATGCGAGGCAACCTGATATCCTGGGTTCCCTTCGGTGAACACGCCTACGAGCCGGTGGCTTGGGTGCAGGTGAGCCTGTTACTTGAACTAGACTTACCTCATCTCTGCTAATAAGTTCATTGGAAAATGTGAGGCCAGGCATCAGTCCTCGCTTCTTGAGCCAGAAGATGGATGCGAAAGATCCAGAAAAGAAGATTCCTTCCACTGCAGCAAAAGCCACGACACGTTCTCCTAGTAAGCATCAACACCAAAAGGTTTCTGGTGAGTCAAGGTGCATGGTCATAGGAAGGGCCAACAGACCAGTCCCATCACTTAGAAAACGAAGCACGGGGCTGAGGGGGCGTCAGGCGCCCTTACCATAGGCGGCGTCTTTGTCCCCGATCCAGCGCAGGGCCCAGTCTGCCTTCTTCTTGACACAAGGCATTGTCTCTATGGCGTTGAAGAGGAACTCCCTGTGGACACACTGAGCGTCAGCCATCCCAGCAAAGACCTTCTGTCACCAGCTTCTAGACTAGAGCCCAGGGACCCCAGGCCTCACGAGGTCATTTTTCTATCCCTATGTGAATTCAGACGCTTGGAATAAACAATTAGTGAGTCCTCAACATGTTGGCACACTACCCAAACACTCACCTCTCCTGGGAATCTTTAATGTAAGTGTCGATGAGGAGGCTGTACATCTCAGAGTGTATGTTTTCCATGGCAATCTGGAAGCCGTAGAAGCAGCGGGCTTCCGTGATCTGAACCTCTTGGCTAAACCGCTCCACCTGGTGGCGAACACATGCAAGGTCAGCGTGAAGAACAATGACCGTGGCCCTGGGGCAGGCGGTGCACGCTGGCTGCAGCACTAAACCTTTTGGGGGACCGGTTTAAGGTTTGCTCCCCTGTATAGTTCTTCACTGTTCTGTGATAAAGCTGCCCATTCTACGTCACATGTTCTGTGTACGTATGAGGAGATGACTAAACCTCTCTTCTGTGAACACTTGGCTAAAACTTTTTACAACTTAACATCGTCTTTGAGCTTTTCCAGCCAGGGACAAAAAATGCCCTAAAGAAGAAAAAACTGCGGCGATGGTTACAAATCAGGAAACGTCACAGCAATGTTAGCTTACAGACATATGTATATGTGTGATATGTATGTATATGTACATGCGCACACTCGGAATGCAAGAATTCGTCCTCCCTCCAATCTTGAGTGGGTCAAGGCAGACCGTGTGGGGGCAACTCACCAAGTTTTCATTCACGATGCCATCGCTCGCTGCAAAGAACGCCAGGACGTGCGAAATGAAGTACCTCTCCTCGGGCTTGAGGGTCTCCCAGTGTAGCAGGTCCTTGGAAAGATCCACCTGAGCCCAGAATTTCACAGCCGTCAAGCCCGCAGGCAGCACCTCGCCCAGGGGAGAAACCCACCCTTCCCTCTGGGTTGCCCAGCAACCCGCTGGATTCACAGCCCCCTCTCCCCCGGGTGTGAGAGTCAGAGCCCGAGGCAGTCGCAGGGGCCCCAGAGGGACAGCGAAGAGCACTCCACACGGGTTGTCGCTGCTCCCCAAAGGGGTCTGGGTCTCCAGCCCAGGGCAATGCCTCCACTTTCTGAGGTGTCCCAGTGCCCGACTCCCACTACCTCCTCCGCTGTCCAAAAGGAAGCCTCGGCCTTCTTGTACATCTGCCAGATGTCATGGTACTCGATGGGGAAAATGACAAAGCGGCGGGGGTTCTCTCTCAGCAGTGGTTCGTCCTGCACGCTGGGGGCTGGTGCCTTCGTTTTCTGTTGGGGGAGAAGAAGATGTGAAAAATTGCCGTCACCCCCGGCCAAGGCTGGGCCGGGGTCGGTTATTTCATGGGGCTCGGAGCCTCAGCGCTCGCTGCTGCCCCGGGGGCACTGCATCCAGAACCAGCGGCTATGGGGCCCAGGGCCCCACCCTGGGAGGCACCAAGTAGCGAATCGCTTGGCGGGAAAGGGCCTGCAGGGAGGAACCACGGGGTGGAGGGGAGGAGACAATGAATCTCCCGGCGCCTCCTACCAACCTCTACCGCCTGCCCCCGGCTGCGCACCCCGAGCCCGCTCACCGGCTCTCTCGGCTCCTGGAAGATCCTGCGGGCGGTCTTGCTGGCCAGCACGCGGGTGCCACTGAGGGCCGGCGGCTGCGGGGAGGGAGACGCGCGGTGAGGGGCGGCCCCCGCCTGCAGCCCCGGCCCGGCCCCCGGCCCCCCGCCCGGCCCCTGCACCCACCGTGTTCTCCTTGTCTGCTAGGCTGAGCGCCTTTAGGGGCGAGAGCTGCAGCTGCTGTGGGTCCGGGAGAGTGGCGAGCGGGCGGCGGACGGAAAGCATGGCGGTGGCGGCGGGTGGGATGGAAAGCATGGCTGCGGCGACGGGTGGGCCCTCAGGTGAGGTGGCGGCGGCGGATGGATCTTCAGGTGAGACTGCAGCGGCGGGTAGGTCCGGTGAAAATCTTGTTCCTTCCCGCCAGGCCTTTTATCCCCCTTGAATGGGCGGGAAACCCACCGTAATCTCACCAACCAAGAGCGCGTCCGGGCTTCTGCAAATGAGGTGCAGGGACTGAGAAACACCCCCTCTGACCTCCCCCCCTCCCCCCGCCCATTCAGACATCGTCCCTCCCCTAGTGGATGCCGAGCGACCCAGAGAACAGGGAAGTGTGCGGGATGCTGTCCTTGGGTGAGGGCTGCAGGCCCCTGGGGCCTGCGGGGCAGGTGCCCCGTCTCTAGGTCACGTCAGAGGGCCTGAAGATTCGGTAAAGGAGCACTTGTGATCGTACCTAACCCGTGGGGTTAATATTGAGATTATTCCTGTAAAATTCTCAGTCCTTTGTGGACCTTCCAGTTAAACAAAGGACGGAGAGGGCCTTTCGCACAGTGTCCCACCGAAAGTGTGGCTGCTCTCAGGCCACTGTTCCTGTGTGGACAGTGTTTGAAACACTGCAAACTGAGCAGAGTCCTGGGAGAATTGTTTGGGAAATTGCAAACTGAGCAAAAAGCCCTGAGAAAGTTCAGAGGAGGGCGAAAGAGCCAGGAGATCCGGGACTGCCGGTCTGACATCAAGTAGCCTGGAGAGGGGTCAAAAATCCCCAGTGGGGTGCGGGGGCAGACACCAACTCAGTGAGTTTTCATTTTACTTTGCCTTTGCTTTTTTAAAATTTGCCACGCACATGGCGAAAAGCCAGAAACCAATAAAGAGCAGCTCCTCTTTACTCTGTGTGCAGAAATCAAGGATAACTGTGAGCCAGCCAAAAACTGGCAAAGTTTTTAGTGGAAGGTTTTTTCCTGGTCACCAAGAGAACACATGGGCATTGGGAGGATGAGCAGTGCCACGCGGCGGGCAGAGGCCACCATCCCCCTGCCCTGCCTCCCAGCTTTGAGTCACTGGGACTGCCCCGGTCTCCCGCCTACAGTGTATTTTTTTAAAAAGCTCTTACTAGACAAGTAGCAGCAGGCCCAGAGCTACTTGGTTCTGCCCCACGGCGGCGCCCTAAGACCGCCGGAGCGGGATTCCGAGCCACAGCGCCCTGTCTCAGACCCTGAGGACAGAGCGAGAACGGTCCCCCCGGCCGGGCGCGGGCAGTGGGCGCCCCCCGCAGCTGCCGAGCATGCATCCCCCCCCCCCCAGGTTGTTCAATTACGCGCGTTTTTTTAAATCGCAGTGTCGTCACTGGTTGCGTTGACAGCGGCCCTCCACGATTGGTCCACAAAAGGTTCCTCCCATTCAAGTCCTGGGCGCTCTGAGCTCAGATTCGCTCTCCCAGGCCCCACTTCCGGTGTTCCCAGACCCCCTTATGGTGCGGTAAGCCTGGGGCGGACCGCGCTCTGTCTCGTCCGGCGCCTGGGGCGGCGGAGAAACAGACCTGGGGAGGTTTTTCCCAGAGCCACTCATCCCTCCCTATACCTGACACCGTGCTACGGATTGTCACAGTAACACTAGTGACAGTGATGCTGCAGCCACTGGGTGCCCAGAGGGGTCACTTCCACTTTTAATCCAAACCGCGGTGTCAGGCAGGTATTCCAGGCTCGGTTCCAAAGGCCTGAGTGTCCAGCTTGAGAGAGTCAAGGACACTGGCGGAGGTCACACAGCTCTTTAACCTGCACAGCGAGCACTATGCTGCACGAGGGTCTTCCTAGGAATGTCTCAGCAAACAAAAGTGGGAAGGGTTCCACCGCCCTGGCTACTGCGGCTCAGTGGCTGGAGCACCGGCCTGCGAACGCAAGGGTTGATCGATTCCCAGTCAGGATACCTGCCTGGGTTGGCCAGCCAGATCCCCAGTAGTGGGCGCGTGACCGGCAACCTTGCATCTATGTCTCCCTCTGTCTAAAAAAAATTAAATAAATAAATAAATAAACAAAACTTTTCTTTTTTTTTTTAAAGTGGGAAGGATTCTACAGGCTTCACTATTCCACCCCAGATTCAACAGTCATTTCCATGTGGCTGAATTTGCTTGATTCCCCTCTCTACCCAGAGCCTTCCAGTCCCTCTGCCAACCCCCACAACCTGCCAAGAGACCTCCCCCTTCACACGATTCTTCCTGCAGAAACACCCCCATTCACACACACCCCACCTCACCCCAGAACCCGACTCATGTTCCTCCCAGAAAGGGCGGAGGCATTTTAAGCTCAGATCCCCATGGAGAAAACCTCAGGACACAGATGCAGAGTTTCACCCATTCTGAGGCCTGGACCAGGCAGACAGCGCCGTGCAGCCTGGAATCTGATTTTCCTTTTGCTCAAGCAGCCCCTAAAGTGATGTTGAAAAGTAGTGTGCCCCTTTGCACACATTTAAGTTGAACTTTAAACCATTTCATCACGAGATTAAGTAGTTGCAAGGGATGTAATTTCCACCAAGTTGCAAATGTTAGCTTTTTTTAAAGCAGGAGGTTGTCATTCCTAGAACCTCAGCTCCTTAGACAGATATCTGTGTGTTTGCTACACTTACTTTAAATTCCGGGTCTGTCCCTTCTAAGCTCCAGCTGCTGGTGTTTGTAATCCAGTTTGTGGGTTCTCTTTTGAAGTAGTTTTACTTTGGTGGGTGATGTCATGTTCCCCCAAGGGGGTATCAACTACTGGAGGAAAGGACAGCCCTGGAGAGTGTGACCCACCACCTCCCCCACATCAACACCGACAGGCTCTTTCAGGGGGTTCCACCCTCCAAGAAGGAGCCTGGTGAGGACAGCCCCTCCCTGGAAGGAAGGCCAGCCCCCGGCAGGCATAGCGAGGGAGCAGAAAGTGGGGGAGCGGGAAGCAAGTACCCCAAACTATTCAATATCTGCAAGAGGTGTTTCTTTTCTTTCTTTGTTTTAAAATCCTTGGCCTATTACCTTTAAGGATCCTTATTGTATAAAAGTGATACATTTTATTGTAAAAAATGCAAACAATATAAATATGCAGAAACAAGTGGGTAAATGTTTTCCATAATACCATGCCCCAAAGCTAACCTGTCGGGCCTTTATTTTTTTGTACACACCAGGGGTACATAAAACGCTATACTCCCACTTTGTGTCTCCCCTTTCTCACGGAATGTGCCTGCGGGGCCCTCTGGTTCAGCACCCTGTGTAAGGTCAATGCTGCGGGCTCTAGACCAGGCCGCCTACGTGCAAATCCCTGCTCCCCCACTCACTAATGAGTGTCCACGGCCCTTTGTAATAATGGGGCCTAGAACCGGCCTCACAGGACTGTCTTGAGGATGGCAGGAGTCGATGCATGCGAAGCACTTAGGAAAGTCCTGGAACCTGGGTAAATATTAGTCGCCACTATTCTTAGCCTGACTGGTCCTCTAGTTGAGGGCAAGGGCATCAGCCCTTGGACAAGTCTAAACAGAAAAGTGTCTGCCCAAGAAAATAGGCAGGCCCCTGTCCTGTTTCAAACACACAGGGGTTCCTGCAGTGGGGGGAACGCAGAAGCAGCGTAACAAAGTTCTTGTCCTGTTCCTGTATTTTCCTGTGTTTTCCCGGGAGAGTGGGGAAAGGACAGGGACTTCCGGGGTCAGCTTTTCACAAAGGATTCTCAGGGCCAGAGGATCAGCGCCCGCAGCGCACGAGCTCCTCTCCCAGGGGTAACCTACATCCGGAGCCAGGGCTCCGGGCGTTTCCTCCAGCGGGGGCGGGACGCCAGGAGAGGCCGCTCAGTGAGTTCTGCAGCCCGATTGGCTCTTTGCCAGGACTCCCGAGGTCATCACGTAATCAGGCGCCTAGTCTCATGCCTTTCAGGGTGCGGTTTGAAGAAGACCTTGAAATGTCAGATAAAGGAAAGCATTTTATTCTTTCTACACAGATTTAGGTCCTGTCCACTTTTTTCGCTACTATAAACAGTGCAGCAGTGAACATCTTGTATTCTAGAAGTAGAATTACCGTGTCAAATGGGGTAAACATTTAAAATTTGGACAGGCACTGTCCGGAAGCCCGTAAGAATGGTGGTCGGTTCACACTCTCGCTTAGCCGTGCATTGGTCAGATCGCCACTTTCATGGCCCGCGGTCTTTTATGAGTGGAAACTAATATTCCCATGTTGCCTTATTCTGAATTTATTTGATTATAAGTGAGATTGAATATGGACGTTTGTATTCTCTAAATTTCTTGATATGTGTCCATTTATTGGTTGGGTTATTTATCATTTTCACATTGATTTGTAGGTGCTCTATATATCTTTTGGATGGTATCTCATTTTCTATTGTATGTTTCCGTTACGTTGCCTGGTTTTTCACTTACATCTTCTTTTCTCTTTTTTTAAAATGTGGCGTTGTCTTTGGAAATAGCTTAAGACACAGCAGTTGCAAAATTAGTACCAAGAGTTCCTGTGTACCCTTCACCCAGGTTCTCTCCGCGCCTTACCTAACCGCAGTTCATTGTCAAAATCAGGAAGCTGACCCTGTTGCAACCGGGTTAAGTAAATTATTAACCTTATTGGGATTTCACCAGTTCCCACATACATTTGCGGTTATGTTCTTGGTCCTTGGAAATGTTATCAGACGTGTAGATCCGAGTAATTAATGATCACCAAATCAGGATGCAGAGCTCCATTGCCGCAGAGAAAATTCCTGTTGTTTCTTTGCAGTTTCGGCCTCCCTCGACCCCAGCTCCTGGCAACCACCAACTGGTCTCCGGCACCGAAATTTTGTCTCTTTCACGCTGTGGACTCACATGCTGCGTAACACTCAGAATTTTAGAATTATAATAGTGTTTATTTTGTAGATAACTTGGGGAGGAAATACTGCCTCACACAGTATGTCTTCCCATTCACGAGCACAACGTATTCCTTCATTAAGGTTTTGTTCAGTGACCACCAGCACAGTTTTAGAATAGTCTTGTAGATTTTGCACCTTACTGGTGGGATTGAATTCTCAGTATCTTTAGAGTGCTTGGTCCTTCCTTCCGTTCTGTCGCCACCCCGAGGTGGCTCCCAGACAGAGCTGTTCTGTTGTCGGGGCCTGAGCCACCCTTTCTCCTGGCCTGTTCCGTGGCTGGCGAGTTTTTCTCTCTCAGG